AAACTAAAAAGTGCCCAATTCCAAAGTAATCACCAGGGCCGCATTTGATAATAAATGAGTTTATGTTGAGGAATCAGAGCAAAAATTACTTAATGAAAACGTATGCATCACTTTTTAGCTCTCGCCTATTTATTTAAAAAAAAAAAAACCAAAAGGAGCCTATCCTGAAATACTGTTTCTATAAAATCCCAATTAAATATTTTGCCACAGTTAGAATGTGCAGAGGAATGACTTTAAAAGGGAAAGAACAGTAACCTGATGAGACTCGGGACACAGGAGATGTTGGGGGTCCTGGAGGTGAAGGGGGAAGCTACAGAGGCCTCAAGCTCTGACAGAGAGATCCCACCATGGGCCCTCTTCAGCGCCTTTTGGTTCAGAGAAAGAAAAACTTTTTAACATGTTGAGTTCCATGTATATAGACACTAAGCAGCTTCTATTTTAACTACAACAGTCAGTTTACATACCCCACAGTCATTTGCACCATCTCCACACATTCCCACAAAGTAACTAGGAAGAAATAGAGCAGAGATTTCCTGATCATTATTGGAGCTTTTACAGGTCTTACTTTTAACACAACGCCCCCAGCTCATTGATTTAAAGAACCACTCATGCATTCAGAATTCAGAATAAAGCCCAGCATCATGTGTTTATCTTAAATACTCACTCTACTCCCTGTAGTGTCTCAATGAGCTGGGTTTTCTGGTCTGGAGCCATTCTGGCAAACACCGTCCCGTGCAGCACAAGCTACAGACAACATGGGATCATTTTCAGCGTTCTATAATTACTGGAGGGATTTTCACTTTCGTGGCAGATTTGTCACACCTTCTGAAGCATGTCTGGGAAATGCTCGGCAATGATAGCGAAGGATTTTCCATTCATGGCAAAGTGGTAGAGTTCTTGTGTTTTAGGTTCCTCCACATGGCCTTCGTGCTCCAGGCTGATGCTGATTTCCTATTAAACATGACAGATACATTAAAGTCCTGTTTAACAAGTTTCTTCTAAAAACTAGATTCTCAGAAAAACACAGCTCTTGTGTTTCCATATGCATGTTTAAAGAAAAAAAAAATTAGGACATCTAATTTCATAGCAAATAGCTTTATTTAAGGGACAATCACATACAAATCAAAACAATCTTTGTCAAAGTGCAACCTGAGAGGATGGAACATTAAAGTGTTGATGATATGACATTGATTTAATACAATTTTGCATTAAAACCATGCAGCAGTACATACCAATTGGTTCTGAGTTATTAGGAATCAAACAGGCTAATTTTTATCACCAATATCCTACATTTAGTAGTTCTCCAGCGGCATTCTGATTAACAGCCAGTAAAAACCCACCTCTGAGTGCTGACATCAGAGGAAGAACCCTTTTGGAGCTAGCTCAACGTTCTATATTGGAGCCTGATGGAAACACTGATGGTGATAATGTTTCCACCACATCTAGAATGGCTTTGTGTGGTTGAACCATCAACCAGTTCAAGCTCAGGAGAAGGTAGTGATGCTGAGGAACAAGGAGCATCATGCCTTAGAGAGTAGGGGTGGTAAATCACATCCATCATGGCGATTCGATTCAGTGTAGATTTCCTGACCCAATGATTCGATTAATTTCGATACTCAAGAATACAGCACGATATGATTCGATTAATTGTTGTTTTTTTTACCTTACAGGCTAGAAAATGTTTCAAATTTGAAATAATCAATGAAAGCTGTAATATCGTTATGCATTTTTTGAGAAACAACAGCAAATAACAGAAGCAGAAAAGTTGCACTCCACCTATTCCTATTAAAACCTCATTCACTGAAAAAAAATAATACCCCTGCGTTATAGATTCTGAAAGGCTTTGCATCAAAAAATACTGCACAAAATCAGTGCAATGAGTGCAATGCAATACCTCGGCTCCAGACGTCCCCGCCCCCTACACAGACGCTCCGCTGCTCCTCTCCCAAATTGTAGCTCACCGCAAAAAGTGCCGCAGACAGGAGGCTGGCTTGTTTTGTTTTTATGACCGAAATTGCAGAAAACAACTCGTGAAGTTTGACCCGCTAGAAGAGCGAGGTGCACGAGAGCGCTGGGAGCCTTTTTCCACCTGGATCCCCACTCTTTTTGGTTCTCATGTCCCTCCGTCGTCGGACTAAACTCGCCCCCACTTCCTCACCGCCTCAGCCGTATCTAGACCCACAGTGTGTAGCACAGACCGAGCTTCCATATTGAGCATAAATCAAAAATGTCTGTGTCAAGCTCACTGCAACACACTGCTGCAGGAGTATAACCAGGAAGCGAGGTAGGAGGGCATATTAGGTTTAGCCCCACCGCAGCACGGGAGGGAGAATTACGCAAATGGATAAAAAAAAAAAACAAACAACATGAATCGATACTCTTGCGGACGTATCGATGCATCGGATTGTTGGCTGTTGGATCGATGCATCGATACAAAATGATTAATATATACACCCCTTTTAGAGAGCGGACCTCAAGATCTCAGTTTCTGAGCTGCAGGGTGATGCTCATATGACCGCACCAGCCCTGGTAGAAAACGACTTGCTACGCCTCTGGTACAGTTAGTATAACCAGCTATTAGTTTATAAATTTTAAGTAGTATATCCATCCATCTTCTTCGTCTTATCTGGGGTCGGGTCGTGGGGGTAGCAGCTTCAGTAGGGAGGCCCAGACATCCCTCTCCCCAGCCCCTTGGCCAGCACCTCTGAGGAATCCCAAGGAGTTCCCAGGCCAGCTGAGAAACAAAGTCCTTCAAGTGTGTCCTGGGTCTCCCCTTGGGCCTTAAGTGGTATATAATGCTCTAAATGAACATGATTTCCAAATAAATTTTCCACCACTGTTACAAGAAATAATCTAATATATTCTTAAAGGTCTAGCTAGAAACTCCACCCATCCTTCGCTGCCAGGGTTGTCAGATCTTCCTGTTTCCAGCCAAAAAACAATGGTCAACAGTTCAAACCCACTGTTCCAACTCTCTGTTGGTTTCCTGTATACGTTACTCTTATTTTCTCCCAATGACTGAGCACGCTTGAAATTACATTCATCATCAACATTATATTCACCCTCAGTTTTGGTCTGAAAAATATGCTAAAAAAAAAAAAAAAAAAAGTCAATACCATGTCATCAACACTTCAATGATGTTTGCCTCTTACAGTCCAGGGTTCCTTCTTCCTACCTCCAGTCTAGTTGTTCTGCTGGGCTTGTCGGCGTATCTCCACGTGATTTTGGCAGCTTGTCCATCATGAGGAGGAAAGGCATCAGCAATGATGACCGTGTCTTCAGGAGGGATCATTCCACAGTCACGGGCCACGGAGATTGCCGTCAACATGTTGTCACCTGGAGAGTTGAAGAAACAATCGTTTTTTTTATGTTATCTAGAAACTGTTCAGTCACATTTTAAGAAAAGATCAAATTCTGTATCAATTTAAAAAATATGAATCTTAAGAAATAAAGAGAAATCTCCTGGTTCACCCACAATAATATGAAGCATTAATGTTTTAGGAGCATTAATGTCTAATAACCCTTAAATGACAATGAATACATGTAGCAGAAAAGCTGACCTACTTTTAGATCAGTAATTATAAGCAAAGTAACCAAATTAACTGAAAACTGAGTAATTTTATAGAGCTACAGGCTTTCTGGGCTTTGTGTCTAATTGGTAACATCAGAGGAAGGAAGGAGGCTTGGGCAAAAAAATTTGATTCAATTAATCATTTCAAAATTTTTGTCGCTGGCAATTTAAAAAAATCTAATCAATTTTTTAATATATATATATATAGGCAGTTTTTTTGCTCCCCAGAGTTTCTGTAGCTGCAGTATTACTCTTAGGTTGCAGTTTTGCAAGCGACAGCATCACATGAAACCACAAAGAACATCATAACCAGAGGTGAGTGAGAAGTTTGTTCTAAAAAAAAAAGGAATAAAATAATTCTGTTGTTTGGAAAGGCTTAAAGCTCTTTGGCATAGTGGAATTGAGTCGCAGTGAATCCAACCAGCTCCTACTCTGTGTGTGCTCCCAGTGAGGGAGTACAACTTCTGGCGGGATAACTACCTTGACATGACACCGTGGAAGAAGGGGGGTGATGAGCTTATTTTATATGCAGTTGTATTAGAAGAAATGGGGTTGTATATAGAAATGCATATTTTAAAAGGTTCCCGGTTCAGACAGCTAACAAGCTAGCTGTTAACAGAAGCATGGCTGCCAACAGCGCAAAACGGTAGTAATGCCAAAAACTTGATGCCCCATTTGTACTTACTGCTTTCCTTAGTAATTAGGGACAAAAAATAAAATAAAAAAATCATAAATCCTATAAAAAAAATAAAAAATAAAACAGATCTTATTTTTAGGCCACATCGCCCAGCCCTAAATAAAAACAACTAAGCTTAAGGCAGACAGAGAGATTCAGAACATTTTATCAGCAGAGATAATAGGAAATATCTACACTGATTATTTCTCTAAAGCACTCTGAGCTGTTTATATTAGTTGTGTCTCTTGTTTATTTATATTTGAAGCCTTTTCCAGGTCTTACCAGTAACCATGATGGTGCGAATGTTTGCTTGGCTGAGGTCCTGCAGCACCCCTGGTGTTTCAGCCTTTAGCTTGTTCTGCATGATGATGAGACCCAGAAACTCCATGTTTGCCTCTATGTAATCCCTAGTGAGACAACAAAAACACATTAAATATGCAGCAAGACAGTGAAAACACATTTTGCATCCGAGGGAAGAACTATTGGAAACTGAACAAATTTACTACTTATTTTCAAAAATGATTCCTTTTTAAATCCTTTTAAAAAGCTGATAGTCATAGTTTGAACTACCTGTTGACGTTTTGGACTTTGTGCCAGCTGAGCTTCGATCCAAGCCGTCTGTGAGCCAGAGCAATGACTCTGAAACCCTGCTTAGTGTAACCCTCCAAAACCTGGGCAAAGTTTTCTGGCACTGGAAAACAGTTTGGATAGGGGGGTAACACAGAGGAGAATTGGTTATTTTCACAGCGGTCTATTGTTTAAATTACAGCTTTCCCTAAATGATATAAAATAACAGAACTTTATGAAGTTTTATCGGGATGTAAAACAAAAATACAGAAACACGTCTAAATGAAATGCTTGATAATTTGCTTTGACTCCTCAGGGGAGAAGACTAGAAGCACCTCACCAGTTTCCCTCTTGCACAGACTGGCCACCACCTCTGGTGCTCCCTTCATGTAGGCGTCCATACACTTCTCCCCCACAGTACGAGACACAACGCTCATCCTCTGCAGCGCCGAGGAAAAAGGAAACTGCCGCACAATACCTATCTCATATAATGACTGAACACAGGAAAGTGTGTGTAAGACTTTAGTTACAAAAAAATACTAGTTACTCATACAGACTACGGCAATTGATTGTTTTTTTTTCCAGGATGATTGTTTCAAGAACAAACAGCTAAATCTGAAAAAGGACCAATTTCACTTCAAATATAAAAAAAAAAAACGTTATTTCTTTAAAAAACATGAGAACCTAAACATTTTGAGTTAAGATAATCTACCTTCAAGGACATCAAAATTCCATCCTAACTGAAAAAAGGCCAAGATTAAAGAAAACAAAAAACATCTGAAGCGGCACAATAGAGGCCAACTGAAACTAAAATTTGGCAAGATGAAACACATGAATTTTATTTATGAATACACAAAAAATAAGAACAAAAAAGTACTCAAACAATAAGAGCTGTAACATACTGCTATGTCAGTCCTTAAAGGAAACAACATATAAAAAATATTGCTGCAATAATAGCCTTTATTTTGCAGAGGATAAAGAGAGAAAAGGAATAGACAAGCAGCAGTCTCAGGGATGGGAGCACTTCCTCTGCATTGGTCTCCTCTCACACATGCAGAAAAATAAGGTTTTGGAAGGAATTCTAAAGTACATTAAAATCCAAGGAATTCAAGATGAAGCTTTTTTTGTTGATTTCAGCATTAAAAACTTTAAACTTAATGATCACAGGCAAAAAACAGACTACTCACCGAAAGCTCAGCAAGTTCCTTTAACAGCAGAAAAACAAAAAATTCCAGGTGTTAGTGTCAAAATGTCCTTTTTCATAAATATCCTTCTAAAGATGGAAATATTCCTTAAGATCATTGCTATAAAGTGGATTAATTGCAGCTGTTGAGGTGTTTAGTTTCTGTCCGTACCATGTCCTGTTCAGCTGATTCATCAGGCTGCGAGGGCAGCAGCTGCTTGGGTGGTCGGACCACAGTGGGCATGATGCGGTTATGGAGAGCAGTTTCCTCCTCTGTGGCTTCCTCCAGGATCTGGAAATGATCATGAAATGTAGGGAATTAAAAGATTATAAAAAAAGAAAAAAAAAAATCTTCTGTTTTCTTTTTCAAGAATTTCCTTGATCTAACGGTTGAGTTTGCAGATTGAGCTACAGAGGAAAATAATTAAGGGCTTTCTCTCAACAAAGTTGTGTCCATTTGAAGTAAATATATGTTTTAATGTTACAATTAATAAAAAGCATACAGAGGCTTATTTTATATTTTAATTTACACATGACTGTGTTTATAGAGACCCTCACCCAGCCTGTAGCCTCAAACATTTTGAGGTCCAGTGGATCTCCAGACAGCTGGCCATCTATTTTGGTGAGCGAGTGGCAGGTGGCCATGCAGGCAACAAACTGCGACTTGACAAGATTCTCCTTGCTGGCACTTTCCTCTGACTGGTGAAAACTAATGGAGGAAAAGAATACATTTTAAGTGAGGAAAGGCAAGAACACTGTAAAAATGGATGTTAAAATCCTTCAAAGTGATTCATGTCATAAATATATGATCTTCCTGAAAGCTGACCACATCTCAGCAATTTTAAGACCTTCCACAAACTAACCAAAGAGTAAAATCTGATGTTCCATATGTTATCCATCAGACCAACGTACCGGCCACTTTCTGCTCTCTGGAATCCCCAGAGGTCCAATCCATCCTCTGTTAAAGTGCCCGTCTGAAAAAAAGAAAATAAGACAACTAGAATGAATTGATTTCTATAAATATCCCAGATTAGCGGCAGTTCAGGTCAATGTGTTTTTTTTATTTAAGACAGTGAAAGACTTACTTTATCGAAGCAGACCAGGTTAATCTGCCCACAGATGTTGATCCGCTGCGGGCTGATACAGAAAATGCCAATTTTTTTGAGACGACGCTGGGCGTACACAATCCCAGCTGTCATGGCTGCTGGCAGCGCTGGTGGCACCGTGATGGTTATGATATCCAGAGACTCGATGATGATGGTTTTTGCTGGCACCTGGAAAACAAAGAGTCAAACAATTTTCTGCTGCCCTAAGGTTTCTCCAAGAGCTGGGAAGATCGCTACTACTAGTAAACTACTGATGGCAGTTCCTAAAATGAGCAAGTTCTAACTTTATGTGTTTTATTTTCACAAAGACAAACCGATAAATGAAGGGCTCTAAAATAATCTTAACAGCATATTTCAAAAGCAGCTTCATATTCAAAAAGTTATTGTTTCAAAAGAGGGAACACTAAGTTTTGTCTTTTGTTCAAACCTCAGGCAGTGAACAGCTCAACTCTAATGCTAAGTTCATACCTGAAGCAGCCGAGGCAGCAGAAGCAGCTAGTTAACATGCAAAGTCAATGGTTGATGCGCATCAAGGTGCAGCAAAAAGTCACGTGCTGCAAACGCAGCTGCTGCTGGAGTTGGAACTTGTACAACTTGTACAAGCATCAAACGCATTTTTGCTGCTCTTGCTGCTTACGGTATGGACGTAGCATAAGCGAAATAGACAGATCGACTCTTATGTACGGAGAGGTTTTAGTCTCTTGGCTTCCCTCTGTAGTACCTTGTTCATGACACTGAGGACGATTGAGTAAATGAAGCCGATCCCAGCTACGGCCACCAGACACAGCAGAAAGAGGTAGGCGTCGCGATACAGCTTGAAGTCGGTGGGTTTGGGATAGAGGATGGAGCGCACCAGCTGGCCTTTGGCTGTGCTGAAACCTGGAAAAAACACAAGAAAAACTCAGACCACATCTGCCTCAGAAAGAGGTACTAATGATACGACTTAAGTCTAAAGTCTCTGTTGCGTCTTTCATTGAAAAATAACAGAGTTTTAAAGGGTCCTTATACAGGTGCTGGTCATAAAATTAGAATATCATGAAAAAGTAGATTGATTTCAGTAATTCCATTTAAAAAGTGAAACTTGTATATTAT